AAGACATTTAGGGATATTCTAACCTCAATATTATGTAGGAACAAATGTATATTAGACAAATGATGGAAAGAAATGTCTCTGGCATGTTCATACTGTACCATTAAGGTCTCGCTTGAAAATCAAGAGGATGACACTGTGAAAAGTCGACTATCAATCTTGATGCTTATTCTAAAATATAACTTTGCCAACACCATAATTTTCACAAACACAAAAGAAGGGGACACAAAACCAGAAAACTTCAAGGAAAAGTTACCTAACAGCCCTATATACAATGCTTCTGGAGGAACAGTTATGATGATCTCTATTAATCTCAGAGAAAGCTGTTTTTGCTCTGAGCAGTCTGACTAGGCAGAAGGCCACAGCTGCTATATAGTCTACAAACAAAAAAATTACACAACCCAGGAAAAGAAGAAACCTGAATAACATACCCAGGTACAGGAAGACAATTATCACATGTACTCACTCATAGGTGGTTTTCAAACATAAAGCAAAGAAATCCAGCCTACAAACCACAAATTCAGAGAACTTAGACAACAATATGGATGCGAAGAGTGCCTTACATAGATCTAATCTACATGGGAATTAGAAAGTAGAAAAAGACAAGATCTCCTGAGTAAATTAGGAGCATGAGGATCTTAGGGGACGACTGAAGGGGGGAGGGGAGAGACAGGAAGAGGAGCAGAGAAAAATGTAGAGCTCAATAAATATCAATCAAAAATATGCAAGCACATGCCATTAATTCAATTCACTGAGAAAAACTGAACATTTGACAGTGGGTCACAGAAATTACTTGGTACAAGTGAGAAGTGTTAAGTCTGGACCTTAGCCTCCAGCCCCTGGCATCCATCCCAGCCCCTCTGGTCTGGGAATTGCATTATCCTGGACTCTAAATCCCAGCATTCCAGGTCCTGACCTGTCCCTGTGGAGAGGTCGGGACCACTCCCACAGTGCCTTTAGGTGGGTTCCTAGAGGAGAAACACATTGTTCTGGGTTTGCATGGGCTCCCCGTTGTCCTGTCTCCCCCACATGTGCTCAGCCACCGGAGAGCACTGTATTTAATAAAATAATGGGCATTTTGATTTTGTTTCATTTCACTTAATTGGACTTCTTTGTGCTGGCAGAGCTGCGCCTTCTTGGGTTTTTTTCTTAACAAGAAAGAAACAGAGAACACACAGCGAACACTCTTCGGAGTTTATTAGAAGGGGTGTGCACAGGCCTCAGAAGTCAGTGTGTAGCCGGGCAGTGGTGGCGCACGCCTTTAATCCCAGCACTAGGGAGGCAGAGGCAGGCGGATCTCTGTGAGTTCGAGGCCAGCCTGGTCTACAAGAGCTAGTTCCAGGACAGGAACCAAAAGCTACGGAGAAACCCTGTCTCGAAAAATCAAAAAAAAAAAAAAAAAAAAAAAAAAAAAAAAAAAAAAAAAAAAAAGAAGTCAGTGTGTAGAGAGAGGGAGGAAGATGGCTCATCCAGCTTTTAAAATGGGCCTAGAGCCGGGCAGTGGTGGCACACGCCTTTAATCCCAGCACTCGGGAGGCAGAGACAGGCGGATCTCTGTGAGTTCGAGGCCATTCTGGTCTACAAGAGCTAGTTCCAGGACAGGAACAAAAAAGCTATGGAGAAACGCTGTCTCGAAACCCTCCCTCCCCCCCAAAAAAAAGCTGCCTAGTGTATGCACACAGGAGTTTGATATGGATACTACATATGCAAAAGAAAACTAAAGAAGATCATGGGAATCCAAACTGGAAAGGAAAACGTTGAGCTTTTGCTATTCACAGATGATATGATAGTATACATAAGTGATGCCAGAAACTCTATCAGGGAATTCCTACAACCCATAAATAACTTAAGTAAGGTGACAGGAAACAAGATGAGCTCAAAAAATGAGTAGCCCTCCTATATACAAATAATATAGAAGAGCCGGGCGATGGTGGCACACGCCCTTAATCCCAGCACTCAGTAGGCAGAGGCAGCTGGATCTCTGTGAGTTCGAGACCAGCCTGGTCTACAGAGCTAGTTCCAGGACAGGCTCCAAAGCCACAGAGAAAGCATGTCTCAAAAAAAAACCCCAAAACAAAAACAACAACAACAACAACAACAACAAAAAACAAATAATAAAGACGCTGAGAAAGAAATCAGAGGAGCATCACCATTTACAATAGCCACAAATAATTTAAAACATTTCAACATGATTCTTCACAGACCTTGAAAGCACACTACTCAAATTCAAATCAGAAAACAAAACAGTGTAAAATAAAACACCAAAGATAACCAAAATATCCTGTACAGTAATGGAACTTCTGGAAGTATCACCATTCCTAACATAAACCTGGATTATAGAGCTACAGTAATGAAAACAGATTGTATTGGCATAGAAGTAGACAGGTTGACCAATGGAATCAAAACAAAGGTTCAGATATGAATCCACAGACCTATGAACACCTGATTTTTTTTAAAGATTTATTTATTTATTAAGTATACAGGCCAGAAGAGGGCACCAGATCTCATTACAGGTGGTTGTGAGCCACCATGTGGTTGCTGGGGATTGAACTCAGGACCTTTGGAAGAGCAGGCAGTGCTCTTAACCACTGAGCCATCTCTCCAGCCCTGAACACTTAATTTTTGACAAAGAAGCTAAAACTATACAATGGAAAAATGAAAGCATCTTCAACAAATGGTGCTGGAATAAGTGGATATCAAAATGAAAAAGAATGCAAGTAGATCCATATCTCTCCCCACGCACAAACTCAAGTCCAAATGGATTAAATAACTCAATACGGATCTGGCCACGGTGAATACAGTAGAGGAGAAAGTGGGAAGTTATCCCAGCCTGCGGGATACGAACGGGGGTCCCTGATAAACCTAGTGGAGAGGAATGAAAGGAGACAAGAGACATGAGAAATGACAGCAAGACAGGATTTTTTGATCAAGCCATTCTGTTTATTCTTTCTCAGATGCTGTTATATAGCAAACAGGCAAAGGGGGAAGGGAAGGGTGTCAGGAAACTCAGGTCTGCTGGAATTCATGTCTGGAGACATCCCTAGCTGATAAGTATATACTGAGGGTCTGTGATTGTTGACTAACCAAGGAAAATGCTAATAGGTTCCAGAGCCTGGTGCCTGCAGGTCTCTGCTAGGAGATAAGATACCAGGTTGATTTCCTGGACCCTGCAGAGGGGATAGAGGTAGATATTTTTCTTAATTTGTGAGCTTAAGATGGCTGTAACAAAAACGCAGATCTCAAAATACAGGCCTTTGCTTCTGGCAAGAAGTAGCCTTCAGAGCATGGGCATAGGAAACTACTGTCTAAATATAGCATCAATTGCACAGACACTGAGAGTACCAATAAACAAACGGGACCTTCTGAAACTGAGAAAATTCTGTAATGCAAAGGACACAGTCAATAAGATAAAAAGGCATCACAATGAATGGGTAAAGATCTTCCCAACCCCAGAGCAGACAAAAGACTGATCTCCAAAATATATAAACTACTCAAGATATTAGACATCAAATTCCAAATATTCCAAATAAAAGTAGGATACAAATCTAAATAGAGAAATTTCAACAGCAGAATCTCAAGAGTCTAAGAGACACTTAAGGAAATGTTCCACATCCTTAGTAATCATGAAAATGTAAATCAAAATGACTCTGACATAGCATCTTAGAATAGTCAGAATGGCTAAGATTTAAAGCACCAGTGATAACTTATGTTCCTACATGACTTTGAGGTAAGAATGCCCCCAAAATATCTGTTTTTACAATGTGATCATGTTCAGAAGTGGATTTGTTAAGTGAGCATGCTTAAAGAAAGAGAGAACATTACATGAGCATGTTCAGACTCCCTAAGTAAAATCCCGATGCTTCCTTTGTTGAGGAAAAACACTGTTTTTTTTTTTTTTCGAGACAGGGTTTCTCTGTGGCTTTGGAGCCTGTCCTGGAACACGCTCTGTAGACCAGGCTGGTCTCGAACTCACAGAGATCCGCCTGCCTCTGCCTCCCGAGTGCTGGGATTAAAGGCGTGCGCCACCACCGCCCGGCGAAAAACACTGTTTTGAAAATAACTCCCATGCACTTTGTGCCTCCTGCAGGCAAGTATATTTTCTCATTTCTTCTCTCTTGGCTGTTGAGATCGTGATTTTGGGTAGTAAAACTGACTACCTCTGGGATTACCTAAAAATTGATTATGCCTGAGAGAGATTTTACTAAAGGGTTTTAAATGGGAAAACCTCCATTAATCTGTATAATTTGAGATGATAGGACCACCTTTAGCTGCTTGGTGGCAGTGCTCACTTTCAACACCATGACAATCATCTTCTTTCGTGACCTTAAAATTCTCTTCAGCTGTTAATATTTTTCACTCTGGGACAGGAAATCACTCCACCAACCTAGATAAGCACAGTGCATAGTACAAGCCAGCTAGCCACATTGTGTCCTGGAGGAAAAAGGGAAAGTTCCTATGGAGTACATGATTGTGACATTGTCAGCCAGGCAATGGTGGCGCACGCCTTTAATCCCAGTACTCGGGAAGCAGAGGCAGGTGGATCTCTGTGAGTTTGAGACCAGCCTGGTCTACAAGAGCTAGTTCCAGGACAGGCTCCAAAGCCTCAGAGAAACCCTGTCTGGAAAAAACAAAACAAAACAAAACAAAACAAAAAAAAAAACAAAAAAAAAAAAAGATTGTGACATTGTCTGGTTTTGTAGCCAAGGGCTAGTGCTATTGAAATGCTTACCTTGGCCTATCTAGAAAAGATCTTTGAATGGGGTGAGAGGAATGGTCAGGAACCACTGTACTGAGTATTTAAGCACACTGTAGCCCTGTGGACAGTGTGCTTGTCACTCAGACTGCACTAGCCAATCAGGCCGTCCAGGTGACCTGCCAGTCAGCAACAGTGCAGGGCTCTTCCGGGAAGCCAAGTTCCAAGTCGGCTTCGCAGAGACGCTGTTTTCAGTGGTTTCGTGTGCTGGAAATTGATGAGCTGAGAGCTTTGGCGACCTGAGGAACCACAACATGGTGAGCGAGGGAATGCTGTCTCCAGATGGGGAGGAGCAGAGGGTGAGGTGCGGGAGACAGCATGGTGCGTCCTCCTGGGATCTGTGTGGGTACCTGCCGCCAGATTCCCTGTGCTGTGAAGTCCCATGCGGTCTTTGTTAATTCTTAGACCTAGGAACAGGCCTCTGTATAACTTTGCTCCTTGGGCTTGATTTGTTTAGAGAATTGGAAGCAGGGCACTGTGTGTACAAATGTTTTTTCTTGTCAACTTCAATATGTCATACTTAGAGAAGCCTAGTTTCTCCAGTATCTTCTTGAAATTGAGCACTTTGCCATTAACCTTTGCACACAATCTCCATTTGTGTTTAACTATGTGGACGGTATCAAGGCATCTCACCTGTTGGGTAGCGCTGCACTTCTAAGCCGCAACGTAGAAGAGTTTCCAATGCCTTGGAAATAGTTCAGTCTCACAAAGTAGAATTAGCTGAGGGAGGACTGCCTCTAAATCACCCAGAAAATAAATGTGTTTTAATCAGGGCTGTTAGAGATTAGGATGCTAGGGCACACTTTGTTCAACTGGATTGTCCAGATATTTAGCTCCAAACTACTACAGAGAAGCCACCACGCCACCACTGATTTAAAACCAGACACCAGGCACATCCCCATATGAAAAAAAAAAAAAAAACCTCTAACAAGCTTTTCAAGGAGGCTCTACAGGTTCCTAACCTACTTTAAGGCCTGATGTCGCTTAACCTTCCAGTTTTCTATTTGAGGAAAACACAGTTTTTCCACATTTGCAATATGCCACCAGGTGACATATACCTATTATCCAGTCAGAAAGTTTTATCATAATTTAGTGTTTTGGTTGTATCTCCACTAACAAAATATTTAACCCCTAAAGCAGTAGTCATTTATAGCAACTCTGGTACCAACATCAAAGGGGAAAACTGGTTTAAAAAATGGTGCAAAAGCTATTCTGGACTATAGAACAACATATCACAGAAGAGAATGAATACAAGTTTTGTGATTTTATATATATGTACTCCAAGAAATTTATCAGTACTCAAATTATTTTTATTGCTGGATTAGCAATGAATTTTTGGGGATATATTCTCACTGGTCATATAAAAATAGATTCGGGGAATATATTAAATTGGATTTCTAGATTAAATGTTTCATTTAAAGAATTATCTACAACAAATTTCATGTTTATGTATGAAAAGTTACCTAACCTTATATGAAAATGTCATGAAGTATTTTTCTACACTATACTAAATGTATTTCCCAAGAGGGAAAAGTTAAAATATCTAAAATATACTAGATTAAGATTACAAGACCATTATAGATCTTGTAAACATGCATCTGTTTACAGAATTAACCATATACAAAATGTATTTTTCATTAGAGATCACAAAGAAATGAGTTGGGGACAATCATCCTTACACCACATTATCAACTCACTTTAACCACAAGTGTGTCCTTGGTATGTGAGTAGAAGAAATAGGTTCATTTACTCCTCATCAAATCTTCCACAGATTTACATAGAAGGTGAAAGTGCAGAAATGTGAAATATGTTACATGTATTTTCTTTCTTTCTTTCAAACCACATAGGAGCCTGAAATTACAAAATACTTAACTGGGCTTTAGTTATCTATACAGACTGCATGAATGTGAATTAAGTTCCCAAATTAGCACATCAAATAACAAAACCAGCCACAAAGCAGGCAGAAACATTAAACATTTCATATATGAGTTTTAAATCATTTAATTTCTATAGAACAATTTTATTCACAATATAATATGACAGAAATCATCACAGGATTGATAGACTGATTGCAATAGTACTGTATGCAGCAGCAGCTTTGCATTTTTATAACTATTATTTGTTTATAAAAATTAGGCCTCTCCAGTCATGCTTCCCACATTTTTAGGTTTGCAGTGTAAGTTAACAGGTAATACACATTGTTCAAAGAGAAAATGTCTCATCATTTTGAATGTGGATTATCTCTATGAAAAATGAAATATACTACTAAACCCTGAAACATGCATGTCTAGATTTGCTTTTGTCCAATTTCAGGCCGTTTGCAATCACATTCTGTTTATATAATAGCAAGAGGATCTGTCACAATTGTGGTTGAATGAGCTGAGGTTGCAATGGTGGTGGCAACTGAAGTGGTACCATTGACTCCACCAATTGTCCTGGATTTGTGAGTGGGGCAGGAGCCACAGTGTTCATAGTTTCTACAATTTCTCCATTGCAAAAGAAAAACTGACATTGTTTCAAGGACAGATTGATGGATTATAGTGGTAGACAGGAACTCCCGATTTTCAAAATCAGGTCTCATCAAAGTTGGCCAAAAGCAGATGGATAAGTTGTCTGCTGTCATTAGGTTGATTTTATTTTGCTGACTAACCCTGTCCAAATGTGTTTAACCTTTTCAATTTTGTGGAGAACAGCTTTTTTTTTTTATTTTTTATTTTTATGCTTTATTTAACTTTATTTTATGTGCATTGGTGTGACGGTGTCAGATCCCCTTCAACTGGATCTTCAGACAGTTGTGAGCTGACATGTGGGTGCTGGGAATTGAACCCGGGTCCTCTGGAAGAGCAGTCAGTGCTCTTAACCACTGAGCCATATCTCCAGCCCCAGCTTTTTTTTTTTTTTTGTAGTATATGTTTATTTCTTCCTTGACCCAGGGGTAGTTTAATAGAGCACTATTCAATTTCCACTATTCAATTTTGTGATTAGTGTTGTTGTTAAATTATAACATTAAAACAAAGTGATCTGATAAAACCCAGGGGGTTATTCCAATTTTGTGTGTGTGTGTGTGTCAAGGGTTGCCTTGTTACCATGATCGTGGTCCGTTTTAGAGAAGATACTACGAGGTGCTGAGAAGAAATTATATTTTGCGCTTGGGTGGAATATTCTGTAGATGTCTGTTGAGTCCATTTAAGTCAAGAAATCTGTTAGTTGTCTCATTTTTCTGTTATGTTTCTGTTTAATTGACCTGTTCATTGGGGAGAGTAGGTTGTTGAAGTCTCCTACTAGTAAGATGTGGGATTTGATGTGCATTTTAAGCTTTAGGAATGTTTCTTTTACATGTGTGGGTGTTCTTATATTCGGGGCATAGATGCTCAGGATGGTTCCTGTTATGAATATGAAGTGTCCATCTTTCTGATTGACTTTACTTTGCAGTCTGTTTTGTTCACTATTATGATACCTATACTTGTGTGTTGCTTATGTCCATATGATTTGAAAAACTTTTCTCAACACTTTACTCTTAGGCAATGTTTGTCTTTGAGGGTTAGGTTTGTTTTCTTTATATAGCAAAGTGATGGATCCTGCTTTCGGATCCATTCTCTAAGCTTGTGCCTTTAAAAAAAATATTTATTTATTTATTATGTATACAATATTCTGTCTGTGTGTATGCCTGCAGGCTAGAAGAGGGCACCAGACCTCATTACAGATGGTTGTAAGCCACCCTGTTGTTGCTGGGAATTGAACTCAGGACCTTTGGAAGAGCAGGCAATGCTCTTAACCTCTGAGCCAACTCTCCAACCCAGCTTGTGCCTTTTTATAGTCAAATTGGGTCTATTGATAGTAAGAGATATAAATGACCAGTGATTGCTAGTTCCAGCTATGTTTCAGTAGTAGTGTTTGTATGTTTGCCTTCTTTGGTGTTTGCAGATGTAAGGTTATCTGTTTCCTGTGTTTACAGTTAGCTTCCTTGGTAAGTCCCTCTAGTACTTTCTGTATGACTGGACTTGTTAGGATAAGTATTGTTTAAATCTGGTTTTGTCATGGAATACATTGTTTTCTCCATTGATTGTGGTTGAAAGCTTTGCTGGGTATAGTAGTCTGGTTGGAAGCTTTGGTGGGTAGAGTAGTGTCCATGGTCTCTTAGTGTCCTCAGCACATCTGTCCAGGGCCTTCATGCTTTCAAAGTTTCCATGAAGAATTTGGGTGTTATTCTGATATGTCTGCTTCATATTGTACTTGGCCATTATGCTTTGCAGCTCTTAATAGTCTTTCTTCATTTTCTGTTTTGCATTTTGATCATTATATGTTGGGGGTACTTTTTTTGTCCAGTCTATCTGGTATTCCCTAAGCTTCTTATACCGTCATAGGTGTATCCTTTTTTGGGCTGGAAACATTTCCTTCTATGATTTTTTTTTGTTGTTAAATATATTTTCTGTGCTTTGGAGTTAGTGTTCTTCTCTTTCTTCTATTCCTATTATTCTTAGGTTTGGATTTTTCATGGTGTCCCAGAAATAATGTTTTGTGTAAGGAATTTTTGGATTTATTGTTTTCTTTGACCAATGATTTGATTTCTTCTATAGAATCTTCAGCACCTGACATTCTCTCTTCTATCTCTTGTATTCTGTTTGTTACACTTCTCACTGTGGATCCCATTTGTTTACCCAGATTTTCCATATACAGCATTCCCTTTGTCTGTGGTTTCTTTATTGCTTCTATTTCAGTCTTCAAGTCTAGATTTGCTTGTTTCAATCAAATATTGTTTTTTTTTTTTCTTGGTTTCTTGGGTTTCTTTGAGAAATTTATTTATTTATTTATTTATTTATTTATTATGGACACACTATTCTGTTTGCATATATGTCTGTAGGACAGAAGAGGACACCAGCCCTCATTACAGATGGTTGTGAGCCACCATGTGGTTGCTGGGAATCGAACTCGGGTCCTTTGGAAGAGCAGGCAATGCTCTTAACCTCTGAGCCATCTCTCCAGCCGCTTTGAGAAATTTATTGATGTCTTCCATTCTTTTGCTTATGTTTTCCTCAATTTCTTTAAGGGGATTTTCATTTCCTCATCATCCTCACAAAGTTACACTAGAAATCATTTTCTTTCTTTTTTTTTTTTTTGGTTTTTTTGAGACAGGGTTTTACTGTGGTTTTGGAGCCTGTCTTGGAACTAGCTCTTGTAGACCAAGCTGGTCTCAAACTCACAGAGATCCGCCTGCCTCTGCCTGGGATTAAAGGCGTGCGCCACCACCCAGTTTGTTTTTGAGACCTGTTCTTGGCCTACTCTGTGTTTCAGAAAGCCACACCTCTGAGGTGTGTCTTTGCCCTCTGTCTTGGCCTGCTCTTTTGGTCTGCTCTCCTGGGTCACTCTCTTGGTCCAGTCTGTGCATTTAATTTAATGAACATTTCCCAGAAAAGATCATGTTTCTCTCCTTGCTGGCCTTTCAATTTCCTATAAACCTTCAGTAAAAAAGGCTTTTCAAGATGAAATTCCTCATTGTATGTGATGAGTCTCAATATCCTTAACTAATTTTCTGACTTTTATGTCTACTGTGTTGTAGTTGGAATTAATCAGCCAACTTCCCACTTACACTGAAATGCTTTTATCATCATTATAGGCTTGATCTGTAAATCACAGAAAATAAAGAAGAAACAGTTGCTGTTCAGGGCTAAGGAGTTTTGTAGCCTGTAGTTTTAATTGTTTTGTTTGCTTGTCTGAGTAACCTTTGATGTGTGGCTCCAAATTCCTCAAAGTAAAATGAGGGGGGCTTCATTCATGGCTTTGTTTTTATGTTGTTGGATGATGACCCTGAATGTAGGCTTTTTAAATGTCAAGCATATGCTGCTGTGCTCAGCTTCTTACATATCTTAAATTTTATATTTGACAGAGGGTTTCATTCTGATCCCCAGGATGCCATGTATTCATGACATTAATACTGCCTGAGCATCCTGAGTCAGTGAATTGCCGGTGCATGAACTTCTTCCTGCTTGATTAGCTTGCTTTTAATTTTTCACTCAATTTGACTATTTTATGGGTCTGCATGGATATGTACCATATGGGTACTTGGTCATCAGAGTGATCAAAGCTTCTCAGAAATCCTGAACTTAGAATAATAAATAATTGTGGTCCCCATGTAAGTACTGACAATTGTGCCCACCTCTTTCAAGACCAGGAAGAGCTCAGTAGTACTCAGCCATATTTCCAGAACTATGTTAATTTGTTATGCCCAACATTTATATTGCTAATGTTTTCATCTCTCCATTTATAATTATTTTAAACATAAAGTACCTTTTCATAAAATGTTTGTGGTATTGCAGTTTAAAATAGGACACTTCAGCTGTCTGGAAGATGAACACAGAACTGGAGTGAATGTATAATTCTTTGTAGGAACTTCAGAACACAGCTCTAAATTCTTTCTGTGTGATTTGTTTATTTCACTGATTTTTTAAGGTTTATTTAATTATTATATATATACAATGTTCTGCCTATATGTCTGCCTGCAGGCCAGAAGAGGGCACCAGATCTCATTGCAGATGGTTGTGAGCCACCATATGGTTGCTGGGAACTGAACCCAGGACCTCTGCAAGAAGGATCAGTGCTCCAAACTGCCAAGCCATCTTTACAGCCCTGTTTCACTGATTTTTGCAATGGAGACAGGGTCTTAATGTGTACTTCCACCTGTCCTGGACATGATTTCATAGACTTGGCTGGCACTCATCTCAGAGACAAATCTACACACCTCTGCTTTATGAGTGTTTTGCTTAAAGGCATGAGTCAACATACCCAGTTTGTCCACCGTATTTTTTTCTATTTTGTAATTAGTATTTCTTCATACAATTTTCTTCATACAATTTTTCTGCGTGATTCCTGTTGATCCGTTTCCTTGACTATCTTTATTAATAGACAGTTCTTTTGTTGGTGATATCCCATTCAAAGGGTACAAAAATAACAGACATGACTCTTCTATTCAATTTCCTTCTAAAGTGTCTGCTTCGGAGCTGGAGAGATGGCTCAGAGGTTAAGAGCATTGCCTGTTCTTCCAAATGGTACTGAGTTCAATTCCCAGCAACAACATGGTGGATCACAACCATCTGTAATGAGGTCTGGTGCCCTCTTCTGGCCTGCAGGCATACACATAGACAGAATGTTGTATACATAATAAGTAAATAAATATTTTTTTTAAAAAAAGTGTCTGTCTCTGTCATGGAATAATAGTGGGGAACATCAGAATTTTATGACTATAGTGTTAAAGAAGTATGCATTTACAATGTTGTCACCATCATGCTTCTCTTATACACATGAATGTAATATTTTAGAGGGCAGTGACCTATGATGATGTGCATATCAGCTTCAGTCAGGAAGAGTGGAATTTGCTGGATCCTGCCCAGAAGAATCTCTACAAAGATGTGATGCTGGAGACCTACAGGAACCTCGCTACTATAGGTGAAATTAAATTTCCTTCATGATTCAAAATAAGGGGATAATTTTTTCTTGGTTAATGATGTTCTTCTGTAATTTTATTTAGAAAGAATAAGAATTAGTTGAATAGAGCAGACATAGTTCTAAGGGTCCCTTCATATAACAGCTTAAATACTGCACAATTTTCAATAATATAACATACATTTACTGGCATTATATTTTAGGATGTAATTGGGAAGACCCTAACAGTGAAGAGCATTGTCAATTTTCTAGAAGACCTGAAAGGTAATTTTCATATACAAGCAGATAACAATGTGCCTCTGATGAAATTTTTATGTGTCTTAAAAGTTTTAGTTTAAAGCAATACTGATAACATGTACAGTTTTATCAAATTCTCACAAATCCCTATTTCATATATGTGAATTGCATTTGAATGACATTCTTTTAAGAAAGAAGTCAAGAAAACAATAGCTAAAAAGATAACATCTTTTGAGGCATAGCACCATGAGAGCTTTGTTGTAGATCTGCAAATAAATTTCTTTCTTGCTACTCATAATACAAAAGTATACACATTGAAGAGATTATAAGTATATCTGTAAAACTTTGTACTAAGCCAATAGCCCATAGTAAATCTTTTATTACTTGTAATTTCTTGTGACTGTACTAACTTTAGTGAGAGAAGCAGTTAGAGCTGAGTCAAGTGGCAGTTGTTTTCGAGTAACCTTGATATCTATACCACAAGATTGTGAGGAACAGCAGGTCAAACCCTGAGAATTCAATGTGGAAATCTCTTATTTGTAATTCTTCTTTACTATGGATACCATACATTGCTCTTGATACAAGTGTATTAGCACAGGGATATGGAGAGATGTAGGATACCACTCTCTAAGAACAATTAGATAACTGGTAGTCCCCATGTTGAGTATACTTGTTGAATTTTAATTAAGTATACAAGTAACTGGTTTTCCACCCTCATTGTTAATACATGAACAAATTCAAACTGCAAAAAAGCCCTATAAGTTCTAGAAATGTGCAAATAATTCTGAGTGTTCTAGTCCACATAGCATATGCAATATGATTCACAGTATAGGAGAAGTTATGAAAATAAAAGCTCTGGGTTTATCCAGTTCTCTTCATATATATATATATATATATATATATATATATATATATATTATCATATAGAAAAAAGATTCTGGATTCTGTGAAGGTATAAAGGTAAGCCATAAAAGAAAGGAATTGACCATTGGAGGTATCTTCCAAGTGGCAAAACAGTGCCTAATTAAAGAGCAAAACATGAGTTTAGACACAGTTATAAAAACTTAGTATCTGAATCCTCTTTATAATTGGAACATATTATAAAATTAATTCATACAAATGTGTAGCCACAACAGCGTATTGAATATGGTGAAGTTTTTATATGTGCCAATTATCTTTGCAGGATTGAAAGAATTCAAGCTGGAGAAAAACTTTCAGTAGATATTCAATGTTCTGAAGCCTTCACACATGCCAGTCACCTTAAATGGAATGAAAGAACACATACTGGAGAGAAATCCCATGAATGTAATCAGTGTGGGAATGCCTTTGCAGCTCAGAGTCATCTTCAAAACCATAAAAGAACACACACTGGAGAGAAACCCTATGAATGTAATCAGTGTGGTAAGGCCTTTGCAGTTCAGAGTTATGTTCAAATCCATAAAAGAACACATACTGGAGAGAAACCCTATCAATGTAATCAGTGTGGTAAGGCCTTTGCATGGTACACTGCTCTTCAATACCATGGAAGAACACACACTGGAGAGAAACCATATGAATGTAATCAGTGTGGTAAGGCCTTTGCAGGTCAGAGTAATGTTCAAATCCATAAAAGAACACATACTGGAGAGAAACCCTATCAATGTAATCAGTGTGGTAAGGCCTTTGCATGGCACACTGCTCTTCAATACCATGAAAGAACACATACTGGAGAGAAACCCTATGAATGTAATCAGTGTGGTAAGGCCTTTGCTCAACACAGTAATCTTCAAACACATAAAAGATCACATACTGGAGAGAAACCATATGATTGTAATTATTGTGGTAAGACATTTGTAGATCAGAGTAATCTTCAAAACCATAAAAGAACACATACTGGAGAGAAACCCTATGAATGTAATCAGTGTGGTAAGACCTTTGCTCAGTATAATACTCTTAAATCCCATGGAAGAACACATACTGGAGATAAACCCTGTAAATGTAGTCAGTGTGGTAAGGCCTTTGCCCAACACAGTAGTCTTCAAAAACATAAAAGAACACATTCTGGAGAGAAACCATATGAATGTAATCAGTGTGGTAAGGCATTTTCAGCTTTAAGTAATCTTAAAAGGCATAAAAGATCTCACCCTAGGTAGGAACTCTTTGAATGTAATCAGTGGGGTAAGAGCTTTGCACAGCACAGTGATCTTCAAAAACATAAACAAATCTACAAAAGAGAGAAACTCCATGGATGTATTCAGTGTAGTAATGCCTTTGCAGTAATCTTCAAAGGCTTAAAAGTAAAAGAAATAGTATTAATGAAATCACTGTGATAAAGCCCTTTCATGTCTTATTCATCTTCAAATGCAGGATTGTACACATACAGAAGAATAACCATGAATTGGATCTGTGTGGTAAATCCTTTGTCACAATAATCTCCAAATACATTAAACCATTCAGGATAGAAACTGTGAATTTGATGAATGTAGACTTCAAAAACATTACAAAAATCATACTCCAGTGAAACTCTATGAATAAATTCAATGTGATATTTTGTAATTTATACAGGAGTAAAACTTTTTGTGTGTAATCAATCTGATAAAGCTTTTGCAAATTACAATATCCTTTGGATACCTGAAGAACAACCCGAGGGCTTATTCTAAATTGTTTTTCAAGATCCTAAGCCTATACATTTACAGTCAGATAACTAACAGCATTCATTCTGTAGAAAAAAAGCTGATAGTGTCAATAATCTGTTCAATATGATAACACTTTAGTTTATTTGCACCAGCAAACTAATGGAAAAAACATATTATTTGGAGTTATGAAGTCCTACAGGCAGGAAAATCAGCCAGTCAAAGAATCACACCCTGTTATTGAAATGAGATCCAAGAGAAAACACTTTGTCCCTGAATCTAGAGCTAGTTATAAGAACATCACCCTAAAACAGAGCCAAAAAGTTAAAAAGAGCCAGTGAAGGAAACACACTTTGGCTCTCAAACCAGAGCCAAAGAAACACACTCTTCCCTTGTTCAAATGAGCACCAAAGCAACCAATCTCTGAGCACAAAATCCAGCCCAACTCTCTGGTTGTTCAAGCAGAGGGATTGAAATCTGACCAGTTCCCACCTTCAAAATCTCCTTAGAAGAGATCTGGTTTTAAGAAACCCTATATGAAGCCGGGCGATGGTCGCGCACGCCTTTAATCCCAGCACTTGGGAGGCAGAGGCAGGCGGATCTCTGTGAGTTCGATGCCAGCTTGGTCTAGAAGAGCTAGTTCCAGGACAGGAACCAAAAAAAAAAAAAGCTACAGACAAACCCTGTCTCGAAAAAATATAAAAAAATATTTTAATTGTTTTTATGTGGTGTGTGTGTGTGTGTGTGTGTGTGTGTGTGTGTGTGAGAGAGAGAGAGAGAGAGAGAGAGAGAGAGAGAGAATGAGAGAGAGAATTTTTGGATTGATATTTTGTATCTTTAGAAAATTAAGACTTTGGGCCGGGTGGTGGTGGCGCACGCCTTTAATCCCAGCACTTGGGAGGCAGAGGCAGGCGAATCTCTGTGAGTTCAAGACCAGCCTGGTCTACAAGAGCTAGTTCCAGGACAGGCTCCAAAACCACAGAGAAACCCTGTCTCGAAAAAAAAAAATTAAGACTTTGGGTCTTCTTATACCAGGAATTACAGCAAACTTTTAAAAATCTGATCTTAGTCTTGGGAATGAATATTTCTTAGTCACCTCACCATGACTTAGTGCTATAAATGTTTAAATTCTATTTAGAACACTTTTAAGTCTGCAATAGGAAAGAAGTCATGAAGAAATTCCTATTCATGAAAAAATTTTAATGACATTAAACATCACCGATTTCTTCAGCTTCATGAAAAAATATTTTTTATCATAGCATTGAAAGAAGTAAATTACATACCACGTTCAGTCAAGACAGATGGAGGAGATCATTGTATTGTGGTTTCTATTTTAAAGTATTTGAGGGAGTCACTAACATGTGCTGTATATGTGGCAAATCCATTTAGTGAAGTTTATTTTGTAGCCCTTATATTACTTCTATGAGTTTAGTTTATCTTCTATTCTGTCTGTACCTAGTGATAGGTATTTTTCTACTGTAATGTATATAATGGAGCCTCCATCATATAATTTTTCCCATTGGTTAATGAAATACCAGGCCATGTTTGATCATGATTTACTCATAAGGGTGGTGGTTTGTGTTTCTGGTTTTGATTTTCATCTTTTCACAAATTCCCTTGAGATTTTGTTATTTGTTGTTCATCTTACCTTGGATGTCAGTAATGACTCAGGGATACATTTGAACTCAGGATGCTCATTTGTCTTCTGCTTGAGTACTAGTCCAGAGGTAGATGATGAACTTTCAATGTGCTGGGTTTTCAAGAGAATTTAACAATGTATATGTTAAAATGACTAACAAAAGAAATTATAAGAAACATTAAATAATTCATGTGTGTATTCAAAGATTTTCATTTATCTGATATGGATGTACTAATGTATGAGAATCAGCAAACAACTGTGTATCTAATACCACAGCTTGATGTTCTATAGAAATTGAGGATAGGTTTCTAGTCTTACACACAACAGTCCTTTCCCCCTGAGCCATTTCAGTGGTGCTCAATTTCAATTTGAAGAAATATTACAACAAGAAAATTTGTTCGTTTTGAGGACTATGCATTTATTTATAACACTCTTAGAACCAAAATTATACACCAGAAAATTGCCACATTTAGTAAAGTTCATTGCTGCTATGTCTGACCTGGGTTCTATCTCTGCGTTATGCACCATACTTCAACAAATTTTCTCATATTTCTTCACTTCACAAGAAGTGCCATTGAGGTCATGTGCAGTCAAATAACTCCAAAGGTTTAATCACGAGAACTCACAAAGCAGAAGTAGATCATAGACCCCTGTTGGTGTTCCTGTCAGTGCTACATACACATCATGGCACGGGTGTATTCACACAGTCACACTTCAAACATTTATAAATGGGTGTAATTAACAATGCAAAGAAAATAACCTGTTATTGAGAACATATGAAATGATTTGGTCATTTAAATTATAGAATTTTGCGAAAAGTTACTATCCATCAAAACAATGATGCTCCTTTTTAAATCTTATTTTATTATTTTTTTCTCTGACTCAATGATAAGTCCTTTAGAAACACATATTTCAACTGGACTTACAGGTGTATGGCTATAATTATAGCACACCAGAGTGTTGGTGGGCCTGATCATAGTGAGGCCAGCTTCTTCCCCATCATAAATTCATGCCATCCATGGCTATGAGGAAGTATCCTGTCTCAAAAATTCTAAAAGAAAGAGCCTATCTCAAATAATATAACCTTTTGCTAATAAAATCTGGCTGGACTCAGACTGATTTCAACCAACTTTTTAGTATCTTTACTCACATAAAAAAACTGATAACAATAACATAAGCATATAGATATTCCATTCACATTCAATCCATTGAATCTTTTGACAACCATCTAGAGGGCATTTATGTGCTAAGACACAGAAGGAACAGTGGGACACCTTCACCTTCCACATTATAATGACATATGTGGTAACTGGACAGTTGTCTCAAAGTACTGCTCCTCTTGGGTACCCGAGTTTGGTTTATAGCCCCACAACCCAGGTACCAGTGGTGATAAAAAGGTGGTGTCTAATGCTCTGTCTGGAGTTACAGACAGCTGTGGGTACGTAGTATCAATGTTAGGCCCTGTGGATGAGTATCCAGTGTTCTAAATGCTGAGTCTTCAGCCTCATGAGCATGTCATTAATAATAGTGAGGTGGGAAAGGCTGATATAATTTTATCTTTTCATCACCCTTCATGACCCAGAAGAACTAAAGATTGACAGTCCCAGAATCTAACTTAGACTTGGTTCTTTTAGAATTTCTGATCATTATGCATGATCAAAAAGATAGTTTTGCTCTGTAAATCTCCATCTGCCTAAGTGGTTAGATGTGCCTTTTTCTTTGTTGTTGTTAGTTTTTTGTTTTGTTTTGTTTTTCAAGACAGGATTTCTCTGTAGCTTTAGATCCTGTCCTGATCTAGCTCTTATAGACCAGGCTGGCCTTGAAGTCACAGAGATCCACCTGCCTCTGCTTCCAAAGTGCTGGAAGTAAGGCATGTGCAACCACTGCCTAAGTTCTCTTGTTCCTTTTTAAATTGTTCAGGGTATAACCTTGGGTCTGAACACAAAAGAGACTTAAAAATGACATTTTATATGGTATGCAAAATTTTTTTTCCAGGCTGGCTCCTCTTTTAAAAATTAACCACCCCAGGTGCATGCAGTTTTTAAAGAGATTTTTTTTTATTAAACTTAATTTTGTGGAATAATTTATCCAGAGGAAGGTGCATTAATTTTAGAACATAAGTATCTCCAGTTTGTAGAATAATGTTTCTGAATCAAAAGTTCTTATTTTGGATCAAGTTCCCTTGATCCCACTCCATTTTTCCCCAGCGAAATGACCTTGTTCTCATGATTAAACCAACTAAATTTTTAGATTAAACAACTCATTCACCACTTAGTCATACAATTAAAAATTTGAGTCATATGGTCAACTTTCCATTTCAGTAATAGAAAAAGGATTTGTGTGTGGAGCATGATTTTTGCCTTCATACCATAATAGGTGGAATAGTTTACTGTGTACACTATAGGGGAAACACTGAAGTCAAACAGTTGTGGAGTCACCATTATGAAAGAAGACATGATTATGATGGATATGTGATTTTGTTATTTTCCAGCATGTATTGATCCACGGCATGTCAATGAAGTCAGGCCAGATTTCTGTATACATTGTGGGAAGGTTTATTGAGCCAAAGAATATGGAATTTGCAAGAAGGAACTCTCATACAGATGTGTTCAACCTTGCTGTCATTGTTCCATCCATTCGCTGTAACTGCATGTGTCAGCTGACAGGTCTCAGCAGCTGACGGTACACATGAGCACAGGCTGAAGTAATGGCTTATTACTGCCGTTCCCTCAGTGCAG